GTTTTTGGCTGCTAGATAAGCTAAGTTTAGCCATGGATCAGGGTTTATTTGCATTTCAATATTTTTAAAAAAGTGGTATAGAAATGTAAGAAAAAAAAATTATCTTCTGATAAACACTTATGAATATAACACCCTCAAAATCTAATTAGATTTTAAAAAAATAATAGAAAAAATATACTGTAATATTTTCTAAAATTTGAAATTCTTGATACCAATAGGAATTTAAGTTCAGCTATTATCCTCTTAAAGACTTAAATTAGCATACAAAACTCTTGTGGTCTATATAAATTTTATTTTCGAAAGACAATACGAAAACAAAATTCATCAAAATAAAAAGCTAGCTGTGAATCTATTTTCAAGCAATATTCTCAAAAGTGCAGAGATGGAAAAAGTCAAAATAATTTTTTTGACAACCACACCCAGTCATTCATTCCAGAAAAATCTGTCTAACATTTAAAAAATAATAGGATTCTACCAAACTGTTAAATGTTACTTTTTCTGAGAAAGTTTTAACAGAAGAACTAAGGTTCTTTTAATAAAAGTAATTTCTTCTGTAGAAAATAACATTACCAACAAAAGAAAATTTCTCAAGCAACTATACAGAAACCTATTGTTAAAGTATTTATGCAATAAATAAGTTGTCTGTGATTTTTTTCACACTTCTAAATATCTAATTGTTCCGTAAATACAAATATATTAATAATTTTGTCTTAATATAAATGCAGCATATAGGTTTTGGTTAAGGTCATTAAAATAATTTCAAAGATTATAATCGCATATACCAGATCTGAAAGGATAGCTTTGCTTCTATAATTAGTGTTAATTTTTCCATCTACAAAGAGGAGAATATGTTATATTGGCAATTTAAAAATAGTTTTTCTTCCTTTTAATATTAATGGTTATTACCAACTTATCACCGGAAATAAAGTTCCAACTTTTTACAGTCTTTGGATAACATTTAAAACAACACAAACCATAAGGATTGATCTTGGGAGTTCCCCAATCATTGAGGCTCATACCTAATGAACATTTTTTTTATACTAACAAATGTCCTTCCTGCAACAAGCCCCTAAAATATTAATGAATAATCAACTAAAGTTAAAGAACCTAATTTGCCTGGCACCAAAGACATGATTTTAATACTCAGTTAAAATTTCTACCGATAACATTTCTATGTATGCATTTAGCCTTGATATGTAAATTGAAATTCAAACATAGTCATGCAATTCTGCTGTGGGCCATGACAATGTTAAATGTACAGCGTTGAAAGTATTTATTTGGGATGTTTACCCAGTTGTGAAGCTAGTGCAAATTTGGGTTGTTGGTGTCAGCAGCAGCAGCAGAGGTTCAGGGTATGTGAGGATGTCCCTGTTTCTCTCTCTTGCCTTTCACAGCACTTGTCTGTCTGTTGGCAACAAGAACTGACATTTAAACAAGTGTATAAATCTTTCACAATGAGTGAATAGCATCAGCCAGGAAATTCTTCTAATCACTGCAACTGAAATCTTTTAAGCAATTACTGATAGTGATAACAGATAACAAATTTGACATTCAATGAACCACTTTAAAAAAAAAAAAAAAAAAAAAAGTGCATTTTGAGCCAAGAAAGCCTATCATAACATTTTCCGTCCTCACAATAGATAATACAATAGAGAAATAACAGTGAAAGAAAAAAATAGCACTTGCTATTTATTTGGTAGAAATTCCAATTTCTTTTACATACTTTTATAATGTTTTTTTTTTTTTATATTATTGCTTCTTTTGCGATAGGTAGTTGTTATTGAATTAACAACAACTATTCAAGTGAATACTTTTCCGGCCATGAGACACTCCCAAGAACTTACCTTCCTCTTGGGAATGACAACATTACTCACCATAAATTAAATACTAGGGCAGAAAAAAAAGTAATTTTTTTACAATCGGAATGAAATGGTCTTTGGTTCAAACAAATAAAACGATAACTTAAATAAAATATTGCTATAACACACCGAAATAAAACCCCTATTAAACTACCTTTTCAAGAGAAAGAAAATCACAATAAGTCACTAAGTGTTTCTGTTTACATTCCACCAGTTATCAAATCTAAAGTTGCCACAGCCCCCTGATAGATTATGAATTTATTACTCTTTACTAAAAGAAAAATACACTACTACCCAAAATTAAGTGTTTTTGCAATTAAAAAACATAGCAGTTTGCGTAAATTAAAATAATTTGTCCTATGTTCATCTTGTCATTTCACAAATGAACTCATCAAATGGTGTCAAAAATAATTTTTCCGTTCAATTACGTTTACAAATTTTTCAAGAAAATAAACGAAAATTAAAAGGAAAAGAATGTAAATAAATATAATTACTACGCACAGCTCGTTTTCTTTTAGTTATTGAATCTTGTCTACAAATATTAAAAATTTAAAGAGAGAACACTTTATGACTATGAGCAAAGAAAATTGCTACTCACAAAATGACATTTTTATTATTTTATTTTCATGTTGTAACAACGGAAGATTCAAAACATTTATGTACATTAAGAAAGAGAAAAATAAAATAGCCAAGTACAAAAAAAAACCATCACAACTCGAGTGATCAAAAATCTATAGCATGTGGTGTTGAAAAAAAGAGGCAAAACGACTCGTTACGTATTATTTCACAAAAATAAAATAAACGAAGCAATGCCTGCTTTGCCTGTTTCCAACGCACTTAAAAAGTCTGGCTTCAAAATCAGGTTAGGGCATAACTGACAAGTCACATAGGATAGCCCAAGCTTGGATTACATAAAAGATTGTGAATGCATGCATGAACCTTATATGAACTCATTAGGCACAGGTAAATGAGGATGATGCAGTATGAAAGTATAAAAAGACTCCCGTGATAAAACTGAGACCTAAGCCATTGATGGGGAGAGAGGTGACGGTCGGGTATGTGATATGTTGCAGTCATCAGATGAGATGATTAACTAGAGAGAAAGGAGAAAAATAAACGGAGAAAATCTTTAAAACTATGACATCAAATGTCAAGCTTCATAGAGAGAAAGAAAAAAAAACAAACAAACAGATGACACCGGCAATCTAATATATAGACGAGGGTCCTAAGTCCTTAACAAGTAGTAGCTGGTCTCTGGTGGTAAAAGTTTTGATGGTGGTAGTTGTTGTTATTCTCTAGTAGTAGCAGTAACTGTCGAAGTATTAGTGGTTCTATATTTATTATTAATACAATTAGTGGGTGAACTGTACATTTAAGTAAGGGTCATTTTTCTGAGGCAGACTAAGTAACCAAAAAGAAAAAAAATAAATAAAGGCTGGGCAAGCCGAAAGCAAGTGTATGCTGACGTCAGAAAGGTTGAAAAATGAAAATAGTTAAAGTCGAAAGTGATAGCTACTTTTAACTATAATTTTGCTTAATATTAACAATAGATAGAGGTTGATTCAAAACAAAAAATGCAGCATTAGAAGAAAAATGCTTGGAAGAGGAGGCAAGAATCAACATTCCAGTGCTAAACTACTATGCTACTACAATATGGCGATGGCAGCAGCAAGGTTGCGGTGTGCTTATAAAACTAAACACCCAAGTCCTGGTATAGCCATTAAAAATAAATTATTCAAAGTTTAATTCTTCAAATGGGATAGAATAAGAAAGAAGAAGAGTAAAGACTGGAAAGTGACCTATTTGGAGATGGACAAATAAGGTAGCGGATAAAATTTATGAGTGTTGATTAAATAAAAAAAATGTCATCATCATTATCAAAAAGAAAACGATGTTTCATCTTCTGAAAGACGCTAGCATCAACGTGTCTGTAAAGAAAGAGGAATAAGCAAAATAATACCCAAAGAAAATGGCTAACATCCCTAATTTAAGTAAGCTTTAAAGCGATGGACATTCTTGCTAATAATTTCATAAATTTGTCTGCCTTAATTAAGTAATTATCTTCTTTGTAAATTTTAGGTTTTTGACCTTCTCCCGACCCCATCCTTTCCCGGGCAGACAGGCTAGAGTTTTTGTTTTTGCTCTTAGCCTTTTCCCCTCTTAGAGGTAGTTTAGACAGCAGATCAAGAGAGTGAGGTAGACAATAGAGGAATATAGAGTCCTGAAAAGATGTTTTAAGATGCTTTGAGATTCTTGTCAGAGACTGAGTAGAAGAGAAGAGAGAGAAACAGAAAATAGCAGCAGTAGGATTTCAGGATGATGACGATAAGAAAAAAAAATAGCAGTTACTTTTTTTTTTTTTTTTAATTTAGCAAGAACAAAACTAAGTGTCCCTTGACAAACCCCCGAATAAAAACAGTGAAAGCTCCAATAAAAATGGGTCATTTTTTTTTTTACTTTTTAGCCAAACAAAGATCTATGATATTAACACAGACAGGCAAACACTCGAACAGAATAACTGAAGAAAACAAGCCTGTTTCTTTCCCAATCAAAAACGTACACATTTTTTTATATTAAAAAATTGCCAATCATGTTTAGTTTAAACAAGGTTAGTGGTTTAATTTTTTTCGTTTAAAAAATAAAATTCGATTTAAATTAAATTATGTTTAATTAAAAAAAATCAAGACTCAAAAATTCATACTGTAAAGAAAGAAAAAATGCAACATTCGGAATTACTTGGATTCTGATACCTATTTCTCTCTCAACGCTTTTAAAAATGTAATAGTGTTTTTTAGTTTATCTCTTCTTCAGAAACAAAAAAAAAAGTAAATCGACACAAGAGACAAAAAAAAATAAAACAAACCTAACCATAGAAAACAATTGGACATCACCGATATTATCATTTTTATGATGAAATTGAAAACTGATCGTCATTTTCCGTAAGAAAAATATACTTTGGTAAATAGATCAACAGAAGAAAAAAAACATTGAAGAATCGTAGTGATCAATATTGGGGAAGTTGAGCAAACTTTTACACGATGACATTTCATTCAAAAAGATCGGACCTCTTTGTTTTTACTGAAGGACTCCAAGAAGAAAAAAAATCATCACAGTCATATGTTCAATTCAAATGTTCCTTACCTTATATACCTGTCCGTAGGTTCCATTGCCTACAACTTCAATTAAATCAAATATTCCAGCTGGGTCCTAAAAATAAAAAGAAGAATTTTAAAGGAAAATAGTGTGAAATATAGATGAAAGAAAAAAATAAGATTACAAAATGGCATACCAATCCAATCAATTTTGAACTATTTCTTTTGAAAAGACAGATTAATCATAATGCTGAATAAAATTAATGAAAAATTATTCGACAGTAGTAATTAATATTTCAATTAAATTTTGATTAGATTGACATTTGTGTTCCTATTGTTATCGCCGACTTTCTTTCATTAGGAAATTGAATATAAATTATCTTTAAATTAAAACTCGTAGCATATAAAAAAAACGTTGGATAGCATTTAGCCTTCAAAACTTGTTTTTCTTTTATTTTGTGATGATTAAAAAAAATCCATGTTTTAACTTTGTCGAACATGTATTTTTATAAAAAATACACGATCCGATCCTCAATTAATTGCATTAAACTGTGAAGACAAAATTAAATGCAAATTTTGATTTATGAAATCAGCAGAAGCAATTTAGAAGCGTTAAAAAAAAAATCGAAATCAGATGATTTTGATGGTAACAATAAAGAAAAAAAAATGCAGCCTGATAAAAGGGACGATGAATTAAAGGAAAGCTATTGCCAAAATACAATTTAAGAAAATAAAGAATGTTACTCCGAAAATAATCTTTTTAATCAATGATTACGATATTAAGTTCCATCATAAAAAAAAATCTTTATCCATTTTTTATTTTGATGTTTTCTTCAATTCCTGATCACTATTTTTAGAGAAAGAATTCCTTTTCACACGCGCTATATACAAGCGTATATGATGAATTTATCATCAAAGTTTAACTATGTTAAGAAATATATGTGTGTTATGTTAATTGTGCTTGACTGAAGATGATGATGCATTCATGAACAGGGTCTGATATAACGAACAGACATATATCCAAATCAATGAGCATCTGCATTTAATAGCATTGCAGAAATAAGACTATTATTAACAAGCACTTAGGCATCATAGTGGCTGAAATATTTATTAAATGTATAATTAAATAAAAATTAAAATACAAAATATGCCTTATGGAAAATTAAAAAAGAAGATAAACTCACTCGCAAGCTCGATAAGTCTATATCATCTAGACTGACGTTCACACTCTGCGTCGCCATGTTGGGTACGGGGGTCCACTCTTTTTAAAAGGGGGGGAAAGATATATATATATGTGTCGCGTTGATCTTTTTTTTCTACGGCTCACAGAGACGGAAAAAGGCTTGGACTAATTTGTATTCAAACGTCAGACCCTCAACGATACATTTTTTGTCTCCACACAATAGCCACTGACCATGTACTATCGTACATGAACTAGAGAGAAATTAGGTGAAGTACATGTCCACTATTTACACATGTAAATGTGAATAACTCTTAACGACTGCATTATGGGTAAATCAGGGGGAGATAAGCGAGTACACAAGAACACGAGTCGTTCCTCTTGAAGAATGCGACTTTATAAACAGTATTTATTTATTTATTTACCAAACATTATTATCACAACTCTGAAACACCAAAGTGAGTTATTTTAATCCCAAGAAGAGAACATGTTATATAAAATTACTTTATATTTTCATTTGACTAGAAATTTATAATTTATTAAAATGTCAAGCCTCAAAAAGTTTTTACAGGATTGGGTTGTCTCAGGTGTCAAATGACAACTAAACTCAAACAACACAATGTTGTTGGTGAATTCACGCATACAATCAGCAAGACGAGATAGAAAAGCAACATAACTGTAAAGAAAGATTAGCTGAGAGAATTGTTTGGGTCAAACCCCAATGTTCATTGTCTTATTGCATTCTTATGTAAAAGATTATATAAGTCGTACAATGAAGAGATAGCAAAATAATTTTCATTTTGAAAAGTACTATGTCATTGAAAACTCGGCTTTGAAAGTAGTTAAACTGTTAGTATGATTTATATCACAAAAAACTAATTTTCAAATTCTTTTCTGGCTGTCTCTCAGCAAACTGCTATGGTATATCTATAGCAATATTGTCTATATGTGAGGAAGGGTAGTGCTAACTAGTAGAGCATGATTGAATCTGCCACACAGTTTCTTAGAGTTTTTTACAAATGATTACAAAATACCAGGCCCAAGAGCCACTCATGATAGAGGTTTGTTGAATGATGTTGTATGAGCATAAGAAGAGGAAGTAAGAAGTGCAGTTTATGATGCTATGTTGGAGAGATAACGGTTAACCCTAAACTGAAGAGGTTAAGATTATAGTGTTCAGGAAAATATCCGGTCAGCAGTCAATTCCACAAAATAGCAGTTTTTGAGAAGAAGCTGAGTGGAAATTCTTCATACTAATGGAATACGAAGGGAATGGTGATGATTCGTCACAGTGTAAGTATTATGGCAGGTCTTAGCTGAAAAGGCTAGGCTGGTGGAACTAAGGAATGTAGCTTATCAGAGCATTTGCCATAGAAATAGCAATAGAGTAGTGAGACACTAGTAACATTCTGTCTGTGGGAAAAGGTTGAAAATAATTCATCACCCACAATGTTACTTAGATGCTTTTGAACTCTATCAAAACAGGCAAGTGAGGATTGGGCAGCTCCAGCCCAGATATAGCAGCAATACTATATTTTTGGTTTGATCTAGTTAGTGGCATGCAGAGGTTTGGTGACGTTTGGGGATGCCTGGAGCCAACTCCTTGATTGTATGCTCCTAAGACTCAAGTAGGGTGGCCTATAGGGCCTAATACTGAGAATTGTGTGAAAGGAAGACATTTTAAATATGTAAAAACAGATGAAACATGAAATAAACACTTTATTCAAATTAAATATAAACTAAATTTTTATTTCACTCTTTGATTGAATGCCCTCCTGATATGGATGCCTGGGGTTGTCACACCCTCTCCCCCACTTTCTGCATGCTACTGGATCTGGCTCTTGCCAGCAAGAGTCAAATACTTACTGGAGTCGTACAAGGAACTGACTATTTTTCTAGCAGGTTAATAAGACTAGATAGATTAACAGGAAAAGTTTGTTTATCATTTGATTCATACTCCTCCCCAGTCTTTTGAACAGGAGTAGAGGTCCATCTGATCTCTGAAATTTTATTTGCTAATTAAATCTTGACCTCTTCAAGTCTACAATTAGCTGTTTATTTTTACTGTTACCTTGCCCTTTTGTACGCTAATACAACCCCACACAGTAATCCTCTACTTTGAGTCGCCTTTAGGCCTTGAAGCAGGTGAACATTAGTAAAATAAATCTAGCAATTGATTGTATATATGAGTTCAACTTGAAGTCTGGCATGAACATAAGTTACATAATGTTTTCATTCACTTATTTTTCTTCTTTTCTAAGCTATCAGTTGTACAAAACACATGATTAAATAGACTCACATGAAGTTCAATATTGTGAAACCTCATGGCATTTGAATGTGTGTATGTTTATTGAACCTACCACCCAAGACAGAAGGGAATTATGAAAAATAGTGCAGGTCTCCTACTTATATATTCAGGATATGCATATGGGTGTGTGCACAAATAGAGACATGGATGTGTTTTATGTTTATATGTATATGTATGAGGTGGTGCTGAAAAATTCTTGCACTTTCCCCACCACTACCAAGAAGAAATTCTTGTACAAAATTTTGATGTTTGGTCATTTGGCCACATTTTGAAAAGTGGGCTGGGCAAAGAAAGTTTTAGCACCCACTTGTATTCATATATGTGTGTGTGTGAGTATATATATATATATATATATATATATATATATATATATATATATATATAGAGGTAAATGACAATAGGAAAACTGTATTATTAGCCAACGTACACAACTATATCAAGAAATCAAAAGAAAATGGTTGAATCCATCAACACAGCAATAAAAACAATATTTCTACATGTGAAAGTACTTGACGTATATTTCAGTTGACAATATGAATACAATAGCATTTTCTAAATTCTTCTAGTTGCTAAGGCCATTTTGTTTGTTGCTAATAGTTACTTTGTTTTCAATAAATTCATTTCGTTTTTGCCTTGAAAAAGTCCACATTGGACAAAACACACCAGTTAATAATACAGTTTTCTCATTGTCTTTTACCTTTATACATATTTTTTTCTACAGGTTAACTCTGAAAAATGTCTCATATATATATATATATATATATATATATATATATATATAGAGAGAGAGAGAGAGAGAGAGGCACAGACAGACAGAGAGAATTAATAAAGCTGATTGATGTTACCTTTATCATCCCGACTCCAGAGTTTTATAGGCCCTCAGGAAATCACTCCATCCACTCATCAGAGAGTATCAGCAATTGAGAGAGAGAGAGGGGGGAAGAGGTGTGGACAGAAAAATCAACACTACATGGTAACTATCAGTTTCACCTCTTAAATGACAGTCTCCATGCAGTGTTGATTCCTATGTTTATACTGTCTATATCTAGCTTTATTGCCAATATTGAGCATTCCTCATGCATTCCCCCATAAATATCACAAATATTAAACAATGTTTTGAATATAGTATATTTAGACAGGATGTTCTCATCAGTATATGGGAAGAGAAAATGCCACAGTAGTTGCCCTCAACAAGAATAAAGGCTCACAGATGAACTGTGGGAATTAATCTGACATATCCCTACTTTATATTAATAGCAAAATCATGCCCATATTTTCCTTAACAGGACTATTTCATTTCCAAAGAAACCCTCCTTGAATCTCAATGCAGTTTCCAGCTTGAATGCAGTACTGTCAATATGATCTTCACTATTAGACAAATGCAGGCAAAATGCCTGAAGTAAAATATGTACTTTGTCTTCATTGACCTAACTAAAGCATTTGATACTCTCAACAGAGAGGCCATGAGCATCAACCTCAAGAAACTTGGCTACCCTTCAAAGTTCATCAATCTCATACACCATGAAAACATGGACAATCTTGGACCTACATGCCTGCAAAAAATAGACTGCCAAAAGGACAGTTTTTTCCTTGAAACCACTATTATTTTAACTACCTTCAACCCTCAGCGGTTTATTGTTTTAAAAAGTGATGATTAGAATCGTAATAAAACATAAACATATGATGAAAGTGGATTTATACAATTTTGTTATTGAGAATTTACAACAAAAATGTTAAACACTATTTATTTATTTATTGAATTGTTTATTTACAAGAATAATTTTATATTTACAGCATTCTAAAGCCTAATACAATTGTATTAAAACTAATGCACTGAAATATTTATCATTTACCAATTTATAAAGAAATAAATATGAACACATTTTCCTTGGACTTTGAGAGATTACAATGATTATGATGATGATACTGAAATAAAAGTTTATTTAGTACAATATAAAATAACCTCTAAAATAACATCTTGTATATATCAATCATTAAAAGTTTTTCTTTCTGAATGGTGGTTATTCCCTTAATTTGTTTAATCAGTGACTACAATGTACAAAAATGTTATTGTTGGTGGTGGTGATGATGATGAGGATTTGTGCCAAGCACATTAATCTTTCTGTCTATTTTAACATTCTATGAAAGAAGATAATAAAAACCAGATTTTAGCTGCTTCATCATTTAGATTATCTTTAAAACTCTTGGCAAATAAATTATTTTATTTTGAAAATATTTAGAAACCAATTTACTAAACTCGGTTTATAAATCAAACATTTACACAGTATTACAATAAATGACAATTTATAAAATCATTTTTTTAAATGTTTTTCTATTAAGAATGTTTATTTATTTATTTTATTGCAGCAATCCCAAATCATTTTGAAAACTCTCTTCTATTATTTAGTAGAAAAGAGATTTCAAGTTTACATACACCATTGCTGACGATAACACAGCCAATCTTGTTTTGTTTTCTAATGTAATTTTAGTAAAAAATAAGTCATATTTGACTGAACAGATCAAGGTCATTACAGTTAGAAGAACTCCTTCTTTCCACTTAATCTTTGACTTTGGTTCTGGTTGAATATTGTCCGGTATATAAATTTACATAGTCAGAAGATAGTCATGCACAGATACACTTGCATACATTTTTTTTTATATACAGGTGATGAAATTTTATACATTTTTAAGACATTTCTCCATATATCAGCTTTCAGGAACTATATTGATTTTTATGGCTCACATTATTCAGT